ATTATATAGACTACACTAACATGACGTTTAGGAAGTTTGTTTAATTATTATGTGTGATATGTTTTTTTTTTGGGGGGGGGGGGTAATGAAAGTGTTCCAAAACGCAACATTAATTTCTTGACAACCTAATATATAGAATTAATAATAAATAATTTCTTTAATTAATATAGCTCACATTATAACATTTGTTGTTAATGAAACTTAATGATATAAATTGAAAATGATATCAATTGAAAATCGGCGTGCCAATTATCATGTTGCAAAATATCAAACAGCCAAAGTTTTGCAACGGCACGCGGCTTGCAGTAAAAAAATTAATGAGCAGCGTCGTAGAAGCAACAATCTTGACAGGACCTTTCAAAGGTGAAGATGTCCTCATTCCTCGCATTCCTATGATTCCAACGGATATGCCATTTCAATTTAAGAGATTGCAATTCCCAATGCGACTGGCATTTGCAATCACTATCAACAAATCTCAGGGCCAATCTTTAGAATTGTGCGGTTTAGATCTAGACACGGATTGCTTCTCACATGGACAATTATATGTTGCGTGTTCTTGAGTCGGCAAACCAGACAATCTCTATATCCCCACAGACAATGGAACAACAAAAAATATTGTATACCCACAAGCATTGTGAAATTAAACATATTAGAAACGTGCGCTTTCTCTTTTCTTTCTTTTCCATTTAACCAGACTGAGCCACAGCAACGCGTGGCCGGGTACAGCTAGTTACTAATATTTATTCAAATTCAGCAAATTACTAAATATTATATATATACTAATATTATATTCATACTTCCATTCTAAACAGTTTTTACTTATAGTCCTTTTTCATAAAGGAGTTTCCTCGATTCTTTGAAGATACACCTAAAAAGAAACCTAAGTTCTTTTTTTTCCTTTGTCAATAGAATTACTACTTCTATTCAGCTATTTTGTGAATGGCAAAATAAATTAGTATAGCATAAAATTTTAGCTAATAGTCCATATTTTAATAGTATATAAATTTGAGGTTCTTAATTTTATAAGGCAATATTCAAAAAATAATCCTGAATTTCCCCTAGTATGTCACATTTTATTTAGACATCTCTTCTCTATGTTATAAACCACCTCACCAATAAGTACAAAATTCAAAGTAAATTACTCACTATAAAACCATAATTGCTCAGACAAACCATAATTTTCATAGCCTTCAATTTTGTTTGGTTACAAAGCCATCAAATAGAAAATCAGACCCCTCTTGCCACACCCAGCTGTCAGATATTCTCTTTCACAATTTGTTATAGTTCTCTTTTATGTTTAATTCTATATTATCTATAACCAACAGATAACCAAGGTTTCATCTATCAAATGAAGTATTATAAAATGCTTTCTGAACAGAGAATTGTGAATTTTACCATTAGTACAAGCTTCGTTTCCATGGGAAAGAGAATGATTAGCTTGAATGCTTTTGTAACGGTTCTTGTCAGCAGTTCTTGTGGTAGTTAGGGGAAATTGTCTACTTTTTGGAGGTTGTTAGTCTATGTTCTTTAGGGCATTATTTAATTAAATAAAAATTATTTACTGTATTACTACCATTAGTATAAAAAAAAGCAGAGTCAGCTCTTTCAGCATGGGCTTGGTCCCAGGGACTGACCTCGTAACCATTTTGTGCTTGTTATAGTTTTCATGCTATAACTTTTAAATTAGTAAGCATATGTTCATGAAATTTTGCAGATTGTCAGTAAACATTACAATGCTTTCATACGCAAAATATCAATCTTTTTTTATTAAGGCTTAAGATTTATTAAGCAATGTTTTTCTCATGCCTTTTTTCTTTTCGCATGTTGCCTATCCAATATTCAAAGTAATTTCCATTTAAGATTAAAAATACTTTTATGTATCAGAAAATTTTCAAATTTCACATGTAAAATCCTTATAATGTCCAGATAGTTACTGAATATTTCTTAAGAAAAAAAACTTTATATTTTATCTGTTATTTTCAGGTTTGGTTGATTTGACTGATCTCGTAACCGCCATAAAAAATTAAGAAATAAATTATAACACTAAAACATAAATGTTTAGACTAAATAGCTTAAACCTCAACATTATACACTTATATACATGTATTATTTTTATTATATTGACCTTTCAGCCTTGCCTGGCTAAGAATATAGAAGTTACAATGACACGGTGTACGTGTACTCATGTTATCATATCCAGTAATATAAAACTGACCTTTAGTCTTTACAAAGTGACCTGTATTGACTGTGTTTCAGTGAACTAGTATTTATAAAATAGTCACATTTCAATTATTATATATATATATATATATATATATATATAGATTATTACTATTTACAAACAAGTTCTTAAACTTATTTTTCTTGAAATATAAAACAGTAAATAAAGAAGTAAAACAAACAATTATTTCTTCAAGTTACGACCTTTGTATTCAGTTGCTGCTTGTTGTAACCTCTTAAGAAATTTTGCACATGGAGCTTGTGAAATGGAATAATTTTCTTAAGTTTTATATATACATTTGAATAATTGCAAACTCCCAAATTACTATAATGATACCAAAGAATTCCATTATAATTTATCAAGTTTAGTAACTAAGCTGTATTTGGGTCTAAAAAAATATGAAATTTCGAATAGGTTAAAGACTCAACTTACCAGCATGAAGGTTTGTCCAAAAGAAAGAGATAATGCCATTATATTTGAAAATGGCAGAGAAAGCCACTAGGGGGACATTCTGAGCTTTCGATTGGATATTCACGTCATATATAGAAATAAATGTATACAAGGTACCATTTTCAAAAATGGAAAGAGATGAGTGGGGCCAATGTGTTTGATTAAATGCATGAGCAATATCTCAGCAAATAGAAAAGACAGGAGGCTTTTATTTTATATTCCAGCTTGTCAATATCAGTAATCTGAGTTCCTAATTTGTACAAACTATAGACTTTGTATTTTGACATCACAAACATCTAATTTGAATTAGTGCTGCATTCAGAATACCATGTGACACATAAAAATCGATGTTTAGATGTGTTTTTTAATATTTACTTTTAAATTAAGAAATTAAATAATGTATAATATAAAATTTTGAATATAATCTATAATTTGATACCAAAATTAATGACATAAGTTCATAAAATTATAGTTCAATAAAATTTTGAATGTGAATCAAAAACATGATGATATGGCCTTTGATCCGTGTCATCGACAATTGGCAGCAAGAAAAAAGAAGATTTGGGTAAGCAATTTATTTCTTGTTTTTCATGTTTATTCTTTCCTTATTATTATAAAAGTAACTAAAATGCAAAAATAGTGCTCTTTAGGTTAAATTAGGTAAAGATAAATGATATGATAAAAAATGTTCACGAGGCGTGCAAGCAGCTCATGGGTAATGTTGTTCGATAGCATAACATGAGCTCCATTTCCCCAAGTGATTTACAACTTATAATGGTGCAAATAGTAGTTAGACACAATTTAAGGGGCAATAAGATAATAAAATGTATACTGTTACGAGTTTAGAGCTACTCAGGATAAATGAATGTAGTTTTATGTTACAATATGAAATCATTCTAGAAAAAAAAGGGGTAATTTAGATTTATTTCGATTTTTTTTATGGTTATGAGGTCAGTAAAATTGACCAACCTTGCATAGTTAGGGTAGAGAAAATAATAGATAAGATATAAATATAAAGTTTTACTGAAAACAAATGTATTTAGGAGGTTTTAGAGATTACACACAAATCAAATCTGAGATTTTTGAGATGAATTAAGTATTTTTAATCTTAACCTGAAAATTACTTTGCACACGTACTATTCAAAACAAATACTCAATATATTTACAGACAGATCTTTTTTCTGTTTACTTAAAACACCTCACAAAAAATATGACTTTCTGTATGTCAAAGGCTTATAATGTTTACTGAAAGACTGCCAAATTTTGTAAAGATGTACATACTGGTATTAAAATTTAGTAGTATGAAACCTATAGTCTTAATATGAGTACAAAGAGGTCACGTAGTCAGTCAAATTGACCAAGTCCGTGTTGAAATAGTTAATGGGTAAGCATTTATTTGTTGTATGCAAGTTCAAGCCCTACTGCAAAAAGGAATATGTGAGTTTCACCACTAGATGGCTGGTTATTCACTATAATAACAGGACACATGATATCAAGATTGGAAAATACACCAACTACAGTTTACACAAATGTAATTTTGCAGTTGAAACTTTTAATTTGTCAGTATAGCTTGAAATCAGAAGTGTGTAAAAATTAATGGATAAGAGGAGTATGAAAAAAAATATCTGCATTTAGCTTGTTTTTACAACAATTTTTAGGTCTATTGGATGTTTTCATATTTTAACAACTTTTGGTGTTTAAACTGCAGCATTAGTCAGCAGAACAATGGTTGGAATGCAATTGAGAAAAAATGTTGTGGCTGTCAGTCTGAAGCTAGCTCAAAACAACCAAAACTCTGCTTACTCTCTTCTCCTTAGATTGTAGTTTATATTTACCCTTCAAACATATTTTTGACACAATCTTAAAACATTTAATACTAAAGTCTATGTAATCTGCATAACTTAGCAAAGTTAACAGGTAATAACATCAGAAATATGGTACTGTCATTTTTCCTATGCAAAACCTTTATATTTTATAAAAACACAGAGTGACTGTGTTTATTTGTTTGCTATTAAACATAATGCTAAACAATAGGCTACCTGTGATCTGCCTATCTTAGGTTATTGAACCTCAATTCTCAGTGTGAAAACCCTAAGACTTAACAGTGAGCCATCAGGAGGACATACAGTAACTAAATAAATACAACACGTGATGTTAAACAACTTCACATACCTCTGAGTAGGTATCTGAAATTATCCCTTTGTAAATCCATTTCTCCAAAATTTCAAAATAGGGGACACATGCCTAGTGATAAAAATTAAAGTATATTTAATAAACTGCAGCTTGGAAAATATTTAAAGAAATAATTTAACTTACATCCAAATCGAATGTGCAAAATAATGCATATAATTTGTTATACATTAAAAAAAAAGCTATTTCATATTCAATTCTTAATACAAAGCAAAAGAAGGGGCCAATGTGATACTGCATGAATTAAAATAATCAACAATCATTAGATATCCATGTAGTGTAGAAAGATTATTTTCACAAAAAGCCACAACAATGACATTTAGATCAAAAATATGAAATAATTTAACAAAAATAATTTCACAATGTTCTTTATCTAAACTTATAATCTAAATATAACTAACTGCTAAATGTTTCAGTGATGATTACAATATTGTTACAACACAATGTAAAGCTGTGAATTTCTTAATTCTATAATGAAGTAATTTTATAAAAGCTCAGAATAAAAAAAAAGGAATATTATGAAGAAATGACATCAGCTAAATTTCAATATTTATTACTAGTTCTTATACTGTTAGTAGCGCTTTACAAATCACATGAATATTTTATTGTTAGAGACAAGAGAAAAAGAAACAAACCATTATTGATAATTATGTACAGGATGCTACTTAAATCATTTAAATATTTATATATATAGTTTGAAATTCCATTACTGTGTTGTTATTCAAGAAAAACACTAACTAAAAGGAAACTATATAAATAGTCTGAAGTAAAAATAAGATAATTAAACTTATTACAATTTCATTCAGTTTTGCTACTTTAGAAAACAAAGGTTAAATCTATTTTTTTATTTGTTTTTTTCTACAAAAAGTATATAAATATTTTAAATTGTGTGAAAAATGCTGCTATTTTAAGGCATATGGTTAAGAAGTATTTTTTCTTATGCAGTTCTGATTGGAGATGTTTGGAAGTGTTTAAAAAACTATAAACGAACTTTTTTTGTTTTCAGAAAAACATATTTTCAGTTTGATTACAAACAAAATGCTAGGACAATAAATGTATACTAAAAAATGTCATTCCTGTCTCTTCGGAATAAGAGTGTTTACAAACTATAATATGTGGACAAGGCTAGTTGTAAAACATAGAGTAAAAAAATAATTTTAACATTTATTATTTTGTTATTCATACATTTTCTGAATAACAAAAATTATTTATCACAAAAACAATAATTTCTCCAATTGAATCCAGCATGATACTACACAACAGTAAAGAGAAGTGTACTGCAATTCTTACTATGAGTGGCAGATAATGGTTACTGAAATACATCCCAAAAAAAATGAAATCAAAAATCAAAAAAAAAAAAAGTCAAAGAGTTAAATCGCTGATTTCAAATTTGAATAATATATACTGACAAACTGGTTTTCAAATTCTGAAGTTAACAGAAGTTTACTGATGTCTGTGTACAGTTAATAAGTTCTTCTGCAAAAATGAACTAAAATGTGTAAAAGCAAGTAATATTATCACTGTATTACAAGAATAAAAAGAAATTTCTTAGGATCAGTTTTCAAAATTCTAGAATTTGCAAATAACTTGGAAAACCATATTGTTGGCAGAGAGACTTAATATCTATTTAACCTTATTGAAAATACTTACAGCTTGGGTAAGATAAAAACATAAGTCCTGTGCTTTAGGGTCACTAAGCAAGGAGAAAAAAAAATATAAAAATAACTGGAAAGTTATATCAAAGTTAAATGTAGAAGTAGATAAAATCTTATGATGATAATACAATGCAAACTTGTTTACAAAAGAAGAAAAAATTATATCATACACTTAAAAATTACAAAGATTTAAATAAGCAAAGGTAAATTTTAAAATATAATTAGGATTTTTTAAATACAGCATGGATAATTAGTGACAAATGCTGAAAGTCAGCAGTGCTGACTTAAAGAGCAAGCAAGATGGATTATTAGGCCAGTGGTTGGAAGACATTTTCTGTTTTAACTATGTAAGCAAGGAATTCAAAGGAATACACCTACCAATATAATGTCTAGTATCTTGTTACTCTTTCTTATGTTTTAACATAAAAATAATTAAATATGACACTTTATAAACTATTTAATTATTTTAAAAACTAAGAATTATATATATATTAGTTTGAAGAAATTTGATTGTTAAGAGTTCTATTGATACCATATTAAGTAGAAGTACAAACATTTTATCTCAGTTACTAAAATGCTTTAGCTTAACAAAAACTATTTATCACTACTTTTATTTTCTAAACTTTTCATATCCTGAGATCTCAGATTTTGCTTTTAAACTGCATTATTGTTATTCAAATGTTTCTAATCTCTCACTATGAAACAACCAGTTAATAATAAATTGACATGACAAATACAGTGTGGTTGAAATATTATTATTGTACACTCTTCTAATTCTTAAAAATCCCTAAGGGACTAGATTAAAAATGTAGTGTTTAAAAATGTTTTAGACCTAATACTAATGTCTTATGAAAATATAATTGTAAATATTTTTCTCTGGCTTGTAAAATGTGTATACACCATACAAATTGTTATAGTTTGTTTGTTTGTTTTTTGAATTTCGCGCAAAGCTACATGAGGGCTATCTGCACTAGTCGTCCCTAATTTAGTAGTGTAAGACTAGAGGGAAGGCAGCTAGTCATCACCACCCACCGCCAACTCTTGGGCTACTCTTTTACCAACGAATAATGGGTTTGACCGTCACATTATAATGCCCCCAAAGCTGAAAGGGCAAGCATGTTTGGTGTGACGGGGATTCGAAACCTTGACCCTCAGATTCTGAGTCAAGCGCCCTAACCACCTGGCCATAATTGTTATAGTATCAAATGGCTTATATAAATAGTCTTTCAACCATTGCTGTGTTTGTTGTATCCCAGCTCCCCTGATGAGCTCTGGATTGAATGAAATGCATCATCAGCAACAGATATGACAAATATAGTGTGGTTGAAATACTATTATCATATATATATATATATATATATATATATATATATATATATAAACTCTTATTAATTTTTTTAAAATCCCTAATAGACTAGATTAAGAATGTAGTGTTTAAATATGTAATAAGCCTAACATTAATGTCTTATGGCAAATATAATTGTAATCATTTCGTTTCACATGGAATGACAAAAAATCATTTGAGTTCACAATGACCTACTTCTGTTGTATCTGCAGCTAAAGCTCTAATTATAACATATAAACCCTCATGCTTACTGCTAAGCCAACAGAGGACATGCCAATGAATAATTGGAGAAGACTTTTCCATATCATTGAATAATCAGAGAACTGACCTTTTCTTTTCCACATCATTGAGACAAGTATGTGACAAATCTTGTGTTTTCTTAATTGAAAATTACAAAATTTCTCACTGGAAAAACCTTTGGCATTTGTTAATATTCAATTCTAGATCAAAATAAGGTTACTTTAGAAACTTTTCATAGGTTCACATACAGAATGTACATTTTTAAAGTCAAAGAAAGTAATTATTAAGATTTCATAATAATCTGTTGCAAACTGTTCACTGAATACACATCTTGTAGGTGACTCCTTCCCACTACAAATGTGAATAGGTTCTTAACACAATTTTTTTTAAATAGTGCATTTGTCTTTGAAATTGAAGATAGATTTGAATCTTATTAAAATGACCAAATTATATTTTATATTTTTTCTATTAGTACTATATGGGCATTATAGTTACTTGAGTAATTTCAAGCAATCCAGAAATATGTTATAAAAGCTTTTGGAATGATTTAGATCTGCAAATAATGATCTTTATATATCTCTATCCATCTAATACCCCATAAAGTACTGGTAAATATAGTCAATGCTTATAACACTGTATACAGTTAGAGCACTGAAAACATTATTAGTCACAGCAGGTCAAGCATCAAGTGTTTTAATGATAACTTTGTTCAATCTTAAAACATACAACCACAAATTTTGAATATTAACTGCCTTTACAACTAAGCATAAAAAAAGAACAGCAAAGAAGTCAGAGATCTAAGTATGTTAATCTCAAAGATGCTACAAAAAAAAAGTTCAAGATTTTCACTGTGTGATTTCTGCAGGTTTTGTTAAATCTGTTTATTTTAAAACAATTATTAAATATTTCTATGTATTATTACTCTATTATTTTAATGTTAAGGATGTAAACTGGGCTTTTGCAAATAAGTAATAAAGTGCTGATTTTTCTATACTACTGATGGTTGTTCTTAATTCATAATACATTTGAAAATATGAAAAATAATTTCTCTAGACAGGTGCCTGATTACATATTTACAAAAAAGGTTATTGTACTTGAGGAATCTTGAATAAACTGGATGTAACAATATTTGCATAGCAAAGTAAATATATGTATATACATATAGAACGAATATTAATATAAACTTGAAAGTTACATTTATTTTTCTTGAGCTCTTATACTGAAGGTTGTGTTTAAAAGGTTTATTTTGCTAATTTCAAGATAATTCTACTTAGCAAAAGTGAAACTAGAAAATTAAATTTTAAATTTCCTAAAGTTACAAATACAGTCATTTTTGAATATTTTAACTTTTTATATGTTGCAAGTAGGAATCACAAATGTAGGAGATATTGAATGTTAACATTTAACTAGTCTGGAAATGTATTTCCAATAGATACTCACCTCCATACACAGAAATGCTATATTTGCATCCCACAAGCCTTGAGACTCTCAACTAAATTCACTGGTGCATGACAACATCATCATGCTACAAAAGCTCTCCACCAATAGAGGGTGACACAGTTTCCATGTGCAGTAGCTCCTCTTATGCACCTGCACTAGTGATAACTTCATTCTTTGACAAAAAATGTGCACCAGAAGTGAGGAGGACAGGTGAGAATGTGTGTAGAGATAAGTATCTATCAGAAATATATCTTCAGATTAAGAAGATGTTAACTTTCAAGACAATAACTCACACGAAAATGCTAGAATTCCATGTTAAAATGATGGAGGGGCCATTGTAAAATGACTAAAACCTAGATGAACTCCCTTCAGAAAGTGCCTGAAGGAATAGCTCATGGAGTGTGACACCAATGGCAGGGGCTCCATTAGGGCACACCCATGGAAAACTGCACCTTGTTTCGATTACAGTATACTCTTCATCTGAGATGAAATGGGGGAGAGGCAAAAGAGCACTAATTGTTGCAGGGACAGGCAGAATGAGAACATGAACATACAAGCTGTTGGTGAGCCAATAGGTGTAGTGTGGTTGAGGCACAACCATGCCGTACATTGTATGCTCACTACAACTCTACTGAACAGGCTTTGGCTGTAGAAGAAGGGCACATTAGTTGTGTGTTATATTTGTAATAAGTGATCCATACTACACTGACAGTGTCACTACCACCCTATTTTTCACCATATTGCACTAAGCCCAACCAGTGAGGATTCTGCATGGTCCACCACCCCAGCAGCTAGGAACTAGTAAGTGGAAAGGGTCTCCCAGCTTCACTCGAGAAAAAGAAAAAAGAGGGGGAGGAGAATTCCCATTGGGGAAACCCGAAGAAGTGCTAGGAACCCCATCAGACCACCAGCCTGAAAGGTCTGTTACTGGAGACAGTGCAATAGAATGACCACAATTCCAAATTTGTAAAAGCTGGCAAGATCAAGCCAAAGAAGTGGGCAGACACTTATCTGGTGCTGGCTTTTTCCATGATAGTCCATGGAATTGGTATGGTCTGGATTGGACAACTGATTAAATATAAATGTCACTAGGATACCTTAAGCGGTCTTGCAGAATATCCCATCTCACAGTGGGTGGATGGTTTGAGTAGTTTCTGTTATACTGGCATGATGCAAATTTTGGAAAATAAGTATATTCTGGGAGGAAACACCAGCAACATGGAAGGATCCTAAATATTGAAAAGGGAGAGAAAGGAAAAATAAACACACTTACCAATCTCAAAAACATGGGTCGAGGGAAGCAGGATAATGAGTCAAGTGATGACTTTGATGTGAAGAAATAGAGAATAACTTGCGTGCATCCAGGGAAGCATATAACAACCAGACAAGTTTATGGACCCATACAGTAAGTGTAGAAAGAAAAATGAAGAGAGGTCCCAGAGCATAAAGAGACAATGACAGCAATCCTGAAAAGGAAAGGTTTGTGATAAGCAACACCAAACAGGACACATTAGTCAATCTGAGTCTGAATGATCGTAGAGATGAGAGGTAGAAGGAAGGGATATAGGAGAGAAAGCACAGTCATCTTCCCAGGTGGCAGAGGTCCTGGGAAGGAAAGACTAAAAATATAAGAAAATATAAGTGGAGTGGAATAAAGTACAAGAAGAATCAAAAGCATAGACATCCAAATGATGGTGACCACAGGCGAGAAGGCGGAAAGAAGTCTTGAAAGAAAAGTGGTGCAGAGAGCAAGAAGCCAATGGCTTGAACAGGGCACATGTGAGTGTGTGCAAAACCACATAAAGGATCCAGTTAGGTATAAGAGTCAGGTGTGGGGGTCAGTGAAGAAAGAAGAAGCAGAACAGAGTGGAGAAGATAGGGAAAAACACCCTGTGGCACCAGGAAAGGAGAAATGTGGAAAAGGCCACTCAGTAACTAGCAATGGTAGAGACTGACAAACCATGGTCAAACAGCCGGGTAGAAAAAAGCAGAAAGGTGGTTCACAATAAGATG